GGGACTCCACAGGCCCTCTCCAAGGAAAGCAGGAGAACAAGGCTCCAGGGCGGAGGCAGAAAGAGAAGCTGGCAGGCAGCAGGCAGGAAGCCCAGGGAACGAGACCCATAGTCCAGCCGGAGCGAAGTTGGGGCTTAGGGACCATGCACGGCCCAGATACTTCTCCAAGCCTGGCCAGGCAGTGTGGCGAATTGGGCATCCACTTCCTTCCCCATCAGCACCATCCCAGGGGGCCTCACGTGGAGGGTGGGCTGCTCCATTAGGCAAAGGCAGTGATGTCAAGAGGCAAGAGGCAAGATGGGCTGGAAAGGAGGGGAAGGAGAAGAGGAGGGAAGAGGCAGACATGCGGGAGGCACAGGAGTGGATCTCCCACTCCGGGCCAGGCTTCTTCTGGGGGCACGGACCTCCTCTCTCCTTTAGCTCAAAGGCATCTCAGCTCACAGCTGTGCCAGGCTTTGAGGCCACCTCTTCCCCAAACCCTCCCCTAGCACTCCTCCTGGGGCGGTGAGACTGGAGCCCACCCCCATCCACAGCAGCGCCCCTGCCCACAGCCCCCTGGAGCAATGGCAGAGAGTAAAGAGGAGACACTAGGGAGGAGGAACCATGAGTCTAAAATCTGCGCCCCAATCTGTTGTCAAGGGTGATGCCTCAACAATAAAGTCTCTAAGAGATGCTAGGATGGGGTGCCAATTCTAAACACCATAGTTTGGGGCTCACCCCATCCCCGTAACTAACAAGACATGGATTTCAGCTCACTTTCCAAGTGACCGCCAAGCCTTGTGAAAGCACTTGCCCCGTATCCAGTGTCCTGCCTCCCCGTCACTCCAGGACGCTGCACATAAAAGGGCAGAAACCCTCTGGATAGCTCCTCTGAGCAAATCCACTGGGCACATTCTCTGTCTGCTCTGTTCCGTCCTTCCTTTCTTCTCTCCTGAGAGGGTGACTTAACACAGCACGGTAGTCTCCCACCGGATCCGTGTCATTCTCTCTGAGGCCCAGGGACCCTGGAGACCCTCCAGCTCACCTCCAGCCCCCTGCCCCCAAACCCAGAAAACTGAGACACAGAGAGGCCAAGGGATTTGTTCAAGGTCACAGAGAAGGTTACAATAGAGCTGGTCTGAAAACCCGAGCCTCCTAATCTCCAGGCCAGGGTTCATTCTAATAAACCAGGCTCCTGCTGGTCATGTCCAAAGGGAACATTCTGGAACCAGAGGGATTTGTAGCCCAGGTAGAGATAATGACCTCCAGTGCCCCCAGAGCTTCCTCAGAAGAGGGAGGCAGGGTGGGCTGAGGCGTGGGAAGGGCAAGGGAAGAAGGGCAGACAGGTTAGTGATGAGGAGTCAGGGGGACAAGGGTAGCACGTGAAAGGATTATCCCAGTCTGCTGACAAGTGCAAATTATATTAATATATGTGCTAAATACAGTCACTATATTGGAGTTTTTCACTAGATCACAGCATACAGAATCAAAGGTTTGCATTTCATATGGAATGTATCCAAAGAGGCCAGCACCACAGTAGGACAGCTTGCAATCACACACCCTGATATTTGGACGAAATAAAGTTCGCGGAATTTTATTTAAAATTTTTTTTTTGTATTCGTAGTTGTTTGTCATCGTACCAATGCATGCAAAGCATTCCACTCCCAGAAACAACGGCAAAATGAGGTAATAGGAGTAATAAAAAAAATTAGTATCCTTTCTAAATAAATAAATTATAATTAAAAATGCAAAACAACTATAAAAATAATTAAATAAGAACCCACGATATCTACAAGTTAGTCATAAATTATGATTGTTAAATATAAGGCATTTAAACTCACAAAACCCTGTAAACTAGCAACGTGCCATGTTTTTTGTTTTTTGTTTTTCGTTTTTGTTTTTCTATCAGCTGAAATCGCTCTAGCATTTGCTCTACGCGCGCGCAGGAGATGAAACACGAGGGTGGGGGGCGACCTGACAGACGTTGCTACAGCCCCACGCGGGGAGTGTGTGTCCCGCCGGCCGGCGGGGGGGTTTGGGGGATTTCTTCAGGGAAAAAAAAAAATCTGGTGCTTTTTCTTCACCATTGAAAAAACTGTGCTTGTTCATTAGGCGTAAAGGGTTAATAATACTTGCACGGAGGCTGGGAACATTTGCAGAAGAGGAGCTAGGGTCCCGCCACAGGTGGTAGGCGAGGGCTGCAGGGCCCAAGGGGGTCCCGGCAAGTGGAGGAGCCCCATGGCCCATCCTCTGTCCGCACAGGCCAGGCTGTGGTGTTGGTTTCGAGATGGGTGTCCTCGGTGGACCCACTGTGGCCAGGGCTGTGCTGTGGCCAGGAGGCCCAACTTGATCCTGGGGCAGCTCTTGCCCCAGAAGGCACTCATGCGTCTCAGTCTAGAAAGGGTCTGAGTCCCTTGAGTTGAGCAGAAGGAGGAGGGCAGGGGGTCTCCTCCTGGAGGTGGTGGGTGTGAGATGCTGATGCCTGAGCCTGCCTCTTCTCCACTTTTCCTGGCTCCTGGACCAAGGGGGACGGGGCCTCGAGGGAGGAGAAGCACAGACACCCTGTCCTCCCTTGTTGGCCAGACAGCTGCCCTGATCAAGGAGCTCGGAGGTGCCTGGGACCCTGTCACCTCCTGTGCCCACCTGCAGGGTAAGAGGGCCCCAAAGAGATGAGGGGACAGAGGCTTTAGGCTCTATCCCCAAAGCTAGTGCTGACCTTTCCCCTCCAGGTGATCCCCACCCACCCCAGGCAATGCCTAAAGTTAGCCTGGGGCACTCGGGAGCCTGCAGACAACTGGGAGGGGAAGGAGACTACATCCCACTCTCAGCCTCTGAAACAGACATCGGTGCCCACAGCAAGTCATTTCAACAGCTCAGTTGGCACACAGCTCTAATGACTTGAATGGTGTATTAATGTCAGGGAGGACCAGAGAATGTGAGTGTTGGAAGGAAATTTAGCAAGCATCTAATCCCACCTCCTCGTGTGGCAGCAGAGGAAACTGAGGCCCAGAGGGAGGAAGGCCGGTTCCTAGCACTACCCACTTTGTCAGTGAAGAGCCAAGAAGGAACCAGGACTCCAGCTCTCACTCCATCTGGTCTTCCCACTGACTCCCTCTACCTACTGGCCTTTCAAACTGGCCTTAGAGAGAATAAGAGCCCAAGACTATGAGGGGAGTGACCTTCCCTAGACCACCCTGGCTACCTGGGGGTCAAAGCAGGGTGGAGAGAATTCCCAGCTTCCAGGGGGAACTAGTAACTAGCTTTCCCCAAAATTCTGCCTCGGAAGTACTTTCCACTTTGTCGGGGTCTCCACCTTTAGCCTTGGAGACACTGTTCACACACTGGAATCAGTGAAGGGGACAAGGTCATGCTCATTGCCATTAACCCAGAATCAGACTATTCACCATTTTTGCACTATTCTTTGTGTCTTAGCTCCTCAGCTACAGTGTAAGCTCCCAGAGGAGCTCATCATCGTCTTTGCTATCGCCTGTCCCAACACCTGCACTGGCAGGCGCTCAGGAAAGATGGCTTAGCCTGCGGAACATCCCTGTGCAACCTCCCACCAAAAGCCACCTCCCCTACTCTGCCTGTAGGTGTCCAGAGTAGCCATCCCTCCACCTGACAGTTCCCATTGTGCTGGAAGGTTCCACCTCAAGCCAAAATCTGCCTCCCAGTCATTTTTACCCATTGGTCCTGGTTTTACCCTTTGTAGCAGCAATGCAGACTCAATTTCCTTAACCTTGTGGAATTCCTTCATATATGTGATAAATATCCTGGACCCCCTAGTCTTCTCTTATTGATATGAGGGCATTGAGACTTGAGTGGGGGGGGTGGGCCTTTGGGGGCAGTGCAAATGAGGGGGAGGAGGAGGGGAGGGGTAAAGGAAGAGGGCAGAATCCCAGCTGAGCTGGGGGTTTCCTCTTATAGATAAAGAAAGTTGGGTTGGGATTGGTGGATTTGGTGGAATTTGGTAGATTTTCCCATCTCCATCCCTCTGTTCTCCCATGTCTCTGCTCTCCTTGAGGTTCAGAAAAACTGTGGGGTGGTGCAGAAAGACACACGATATGGTGTCACCTGGGACTTCAGGTCTGCCTCTCCTACCGCCCCCATCCCTACACCCCAAGGAGGTTCCCAAGAGAGAGCGCCAATGTGTGGGCAGATAGTATTAATCCTCACAACAGCTAGGTGAGGTAGAGAAGTGGAAATGGAGATGCACTGTTGTTCTCCCCACTCTAAGGAGAAGGAAACTGAGGCACAGAGAAAGAAAGGGGCTTGCTCAACGTTATCAAAGAGTCAGAGAAAGAGCCAGAGGCTAGGGACACAGTGCCTCCCAAACCCAGCCAGCAGGGTCTCAGCCCAGGACCTTCTCCAAGGGTCTCCATCAAGATTTGAGCCATCCCTAAGGAAGGTCAAAGTTCTCCTCAAGGTCCACAGTATTTGGCCTCAGCCCTTGAGTGCTAGCTGAGAGCACTTTGGCCAGGACCAAGTATCCATCACCTATGCTATCTTAGCTTCATCATCTGGTTAATTTTTTGCATAGGGAGGCAGTGGCCAAATTGCCTCTTTGTGACAGGGCATACGCAGGCTGAAAGGAAGAAGTTGGCCTGGTCAGGGGTATCCTGGCTCTGAGGAACCTGGTGGCTACTTTAGTTGAAGGCTGGCCCCTCCCTGGTTCAGTGTGGAACCGGGGGGATGGCTGGAGCTCAGTGGATGGGCTCTGGAGCCGGGGATCCCTCCTTCAAGACAGAATTCTTCTCTTACCTACTCAACCTCTGCCTTCCCAGCTCCACCTGAGCCCCTCGAAGGCCCAGCTAAGACCCCCATCTGCTCCTTCTCCAGTCCTCCCCGTTCCCAGGTGGCCCCTTCCATGCTCCATGCATTGTAAACATGAGAAAAAACAAAGCAAAGGGGAAAACCAGAATGGAAAACAAAACAAGGACACCCCCATCCCCCTCCCCGCTTCCCAACCTGGGTGAAAAAAATTATCCTTTTTCATCGTAAACAGGATTTGGCTTTTTTTTTTTTTTTTTCATTTCTGATTCCTTTTCCCATTTCTCTCTTAAAGATGGGAAGATTTGGGCTGTCGTTGGTTGCTTCGGTCAGGCACCAAAACAAGAAACTCAATGAGAAATATTTGGTGCGAATTCGGTAATAGCGACATGTCCACCACAAGATGACTAGAGCACCACACACAACATTTTTCTTAAGCTAACATGCTCTGGCTGCCATCCACAGAAATAGCTAGAGACCCCTACATGGTTTCTACGTGGTCGAGAGGTATATATACAATCCTTCAGAGGGCAGGATTGAGGGGCCGGTCTATCAGCTAGGACCTTCAGGATCACGTCTAGATTCTCAGCAGCATGGGCCCCCCCTTCCCACCCCTGCTCTGGGCACGGCCAGCTCCCTCCCTTCCGCGCAGCAAGGCAGATGGGGACAGTCACCATTCTGGATGGGTGGGTCCTCCCCCACCCTTCCTTTCCCTTGGACACGGATACCACCAACTCCTCTTTCCACAAAATGTGCTTGCAGGCTTTTCCTCTACGTCAAATGGCTCAGAAGGCAAAGTTTGGCTGCAAGGGCTATGGCCGTGGGGGGACCTGGTGAAGGAAAATGGGGCATCCATTGGCTAATTCCTTCCTCAGCTGTCAGCTCCCAGTTGTGTCTCAATGTCCACCCGGCAGATGGGGCATTTCTTGCTCATGGCGAGCCACTGGTCCACGCAGAGTTGGTGAAAAAGGTGCATACAGGGTAGGCGCCTGGAAGAGAGGGGGAGAGTCAGAGGAATGGCTGAGGGGAAGAACCCCAAGGCTGTGCCAGGAGTTGAGGGATAACGGCTACTCAAGCGACCAGGAGACTCACACCCAGGGCTCCTGGGGGACAGGCCAAAGAGGGTCATGGGAGCTCTGCCATGGAGTGAGGCTGTGGCTGGGATGGGAAATCATGACAGGAAGGAGAACCCCCAAATTCTCCTTCTGCATGCAGCCTTTCAGTGTAGCCTGAAACAAAGCCATGGCTTTGTCTTAGACCCATCCTGGCCGAATATCAGGTTGTTCTCTGAAACTTAGCATCTATAAGTCCATACCCATAGGCACCACACATCTAGAATGTTCCACACCCCATCATCCTAGAACAACCATGAAACACACTTGGCGCACGCTCGCGTGCGCGCATACACACACACACACACTCACTCGTTCACACTCACACACACAAGCAAGCTCCACCCGACACACAGCACATGACTGATTACCAATACCCACGAGGAAAAGGAGATGGAATCCAAGAGGCTCGCCTCCTACCTCACATCTTCTCCATCCTCCAGCATAGACAGACAAATTGTGCATTTCTCATCAGTGTCTGACTCCTCCCCCTCTTCCTTCTTGCCCTTGCCATTCTGGGGTCTTCTCTGGGAGAAACAAAGGAGGAGCATGTTATCTAGAGAAGACTCACCTGGTGGTCTTGGCCCTTGCAGGCTCTTCCCCCACCTCCCTCCTCCAATGAGGCAGTCTCTTTTTAAGCTCCTAAGTTATATCCAGACTTCTATGCTCTTCCCAGGCCCTCCTCCCTGCCTAATCTCCACCCCTCCTCCTTGCTGCAGAATATAGAGGGTTAAAGCCAAATGAACTTTATTATCGTTGTTCCAGACAATTCATGTCCCAGGCATAAACTTTACACTGCCCTAGGAGCATAGAGTTTGGAAAGGAATTGGATACCAATGAATCAATCCTTTGCAAAATGTTGGCTGTGCATAAACAGCTCCACCTTTTCTGCTTTCCCTTATCCTGTTTACTCTTCCTTACACCCTTTCCAACCTAGATCCCTGTCTCCAGCCTTCTCCTCCACTTTCAGGTCCAGCATGCTTCATTCATCCATCCATCCATGCATTCATTCATTTAGTTTTCCTTCCTTCCTCCCTTCCTTCCTCCCTCCCTGACTCCTCCCCCCCTCCTTCTGTTCCTTCCTTCCTTCCTTCCTTCCTTCCTTCCTTCCTTCCTTCCTTCCTTCCTCCCTCTCTCCCTTTCTTCCTTCCTTTATTCCTTCTACTTACAAATGTCTATTGTGAGGAGCTGAAGATGGGCTCTGGCTTAACCACAATGAGTATGTTCCTGCTCTAAGATTCTCAATGCTTGTCAAGCTTTTAATTCTTAGATTTTTAAATTTTTATTTATTTGTCATCATATCAGACTATATTTTTAGAGCAGTTTTAATTTACATAAAAATTGAACAGAAAATATAGTGTGTTCCCACTTCCCTCTGCCTCTCAACATATGCAGTTTGCCCTATTATTTGCATCTCGCCTTAGTGTGATGCATTTGTTGCAACTGATGAACCAATAGTGATACACAACTATTAACTGAAGTCTTCTGGTTTACATTAGGGTTTACTCTTTATGTTAAATAGCCTTTTGTGTTTTGACAAATGCATATTGTCATGTGTCCACCATTACATACAAAATAGTGTCACTGCCTTAAAAATAGGTGATTCCCCTGTGAATCACCTATTCATTCTTTCCTCCCTCTCCTGAGGCCCCTGGCAATAACTGATCTTTTTATTGTCTCTGGTTTTGCCTTTTCCGGAATGGTATGTAGTTGGAATCATACAGTATGCAGCCTTTTTATGCTGGCTTCTTCCACTTTGTAATATGCATTTCCAGTCCTTCGTGTCTTTTTATGGCTTAATAGTTCATTTCATTTCTTGTTATCGTGAAATAATATTCCATTGTATGAATGAACTACAGTTTGTCCATTCACTTATTGAGGGACATCTTAGTTGCTTTTAAATTTTTCAATTTAATCTAAAAATTTTTAAACTTAGATTCCTGGCAACAATTCTGGAGAATCTACCTCTGTAGGCTTAGGGTAGAGCCTGTGAATATGTGGCTTTAAAAGCTCCACAGATGATCTTGATGCTCAATGAGAATTGGAAATGCTGCTCTGAAGCCTTAGTTGCCCATTTGTCTACATGTGAGACTGGAGTTGGGATTCTTTTCTAAGACAAGTCTTAGCCTTCTGTGTAGGCACTCCCCTTGCTCACCCCACTCAGATACTAACATTTTCCCTGTACACCTTCCTAATATACCAACTCACAAGTCCACATGCACACACATACCCAACCTCCTCCCTTTTTAATGAGAGGCACCATATCCCCTCCTAGTTACACCTGACAGAGGCAAAGGAGAAAACCTGGGAAGGTATTGCTGCTTCAGAGCATCTGATCAGAGCAAATCCTTCTAGATTTTGGACTGTGCACCTCTGTGGACAACCAGGCCAAAGTCAACCTATATCCTCCCCACCCTCACCCCTACTATACATGCTGGCCTGCTGGCTGACTCACCTTCTTGTACTTGTGGGGGAAGGTGAACCTCTCAATGGTGTTCTGTACAGCTCCTCGAGTCACATTTCCCAACCTGTCCTCAAGCTGCAGCAGCTCCTGCAAAGAGAAAAGTGTGGATGTGTGCACTCATGTGCAAAGGCACATGTACACATGTGATGAGAAGGAGAGGCACTGACAGATGTTAGCAGGAAGCATTCACACAGCCATTCAGAAGAACTTGTCTGAAAGAACAAAATATCTTTGCTTGCTCTCATTTTCTTTCTCTTCGTCTCAACCCCAAGGCTCCTCCTGCCCCACTCACTCCCTACCCACCAGTAGGGGAAAAGGACAGAGGACACGATAAATGGCAGTGATGAATGATAATAGCTTCTCCACCAACCCCACTGGAGCCAAGCTGGCCAGAGGAGTCCCAGACAGAGGGGCAGGCGTACCTCATAGCTCTCCCGCACAGCAGAGATGTGTCTGCTGGGGTTCAGTCCCTGGAGAGCAAGGAAGTGAAGCTGAGGGTAAGGGTAGTTTCGGATTTCATGGACAACCTGTTGGGGAGAAAAGGCCTCAGATAGGATTCAAGCCTTCATGATCCTAGTGCCCAACTCCTCCTCCCATAACCGCCAATCTGCATACCCTGAGAAACTGTGGCAGAAGTGTCCTTTTTCCTGCTCCTGGTCTCCCTCATCCCTACAAGAACCAAGCCTCTGCTGGGCCAGCCCCAGAACGAATAACAAAATCAATAGGTAACACCTGGCCTGATGGGGCATTTATTTCATGCCAGATACTGTTCTAAGCCCTTCGGATAGTTAACTAATTTAATGATCTCATCGGATTTGTAATGAGGATGCAATTACCATCCCCATTTTACTGATAGGGTAAATGAGACTCGGGCACATTTAGTAAGTGACCCAACTTATGCAACCAAGCGGCAGAACCACCATTTCAAACCCAGGCAGTTGTGGGGAAGTGGGGGCAGAGTCAATTCCCTCCCCCTTGACTCCACATTGTCTGACCCAGGTGGGGCAAGTGAGGGCACAACATTTAAGGGGGCATTGTGATCGAGACAAATAATATCTTATTGCAACATTTTTAAAAAAATCAAAATTAATATAAAATATCTGTAATGAACAAAATGTCAAACTTTTCAATACAGAGAGGATCTGCCCCTGTACTTGTTTGGTGCTGCCTCACTCACCTGGCCCGACCCAGGTGTGAGTCAGAGGACCAGGTGTCCAGCATACTAGTAGTTCCTCGTCTTAGTCACTGCATGGCCCTGGCCTGCTACTTAACCTCTCTATGCCTCGGTTTGCTAATCTGTAAAATAGGGTTATTACCTCTTCTTGTGGAGTTATCAAGAGGCTTAAATAATTCATTTAAATTGCTTAGAACAGTGCCTGGTATGCAGTAAGTGCTCAATAAGTGTTAGCTTTTATTCTCAGTAAATGGTGCTTTTTAACAGGAACCATAGGACCTCAGGGCTGAAAGACTGCTGAGATAACTGGCCCATGCCCCTCATTTTACAGATAAGGAGACTGAGGTGCTCAGTGGTTAAAGGCAGAGGCAAGGACTGGCAGGCTGGAATTGTGCTTCGGGGCAGCAACGCGAAGAAGCTGCCTGGGAATAAGAAGATTTTCAGTCCTTTGCCACATTATTATTGTTGTTGTTAGTTTAATGAAACATCTTCACCTTCATTCCGTGCAGCTTGCAATGCCCCCAAACGGAACCTGATCCTTTTGCAGACTCAGCACCCTGCAGTGAAGAGAAGCCCAGCCCCTGCAGGAAGCTGACTGGATCCGCAGCCAGGCCACCCCTTGGGTCTCTTATGTTCCTCACACCAGTCCTGTGAGATGGGCCAGGCAGGTGTCTTCACCCCATTTCATCCCATTTCACAGGTAAGTGAACTAACACCCAGGCAGGCACTGACGCTGAGAAATGAACTAAGCGCAGTCGTACAGGGTCCAGAGCCCACCCTGCTTGCTCTTAGCCCTGAGCCTTTCCCCACACCTGCAACTACCCCCTGCCACCCTCCATTGCCCACCCAGTCCTTTCAGCAGTACGAGCTTCTCATGCAACAGGTGCTCTCAAGTCAGAGAGGGAGTAAGAGTTGGGAGGGGAGGGGAGCAGTTGGCCTGCCTGAGAGCGAGACACACAGAGGAACAGGGCACAGGGAGTAGGACACAAGGGAGCTGCAGGCCTCAGCCCGCCAAGTCCCCCAACAGGCAACAGGAGTCTGTTCCTGGCAGAGCCCCCTCACTCACCATCTGCGTGGAGGAGGAGTTTCTGGGAAAGTGGTGCATTCGAGGCGTCGCTAGGTAATGCTGATAGTGCTGAAGGATGGGCCGCACCTGGAACTGAGCAGGGCTCAAGCTGGCGTCCACACTGAGATCCCTGCGGGGACACGGCCACATGAGCCACGGCGGGTGCGGGGGGGTGGGGGGGAGTACTCAGCCACGGGGTTACAGAAGGGACCTCAGACATCAAGCCCATGGTGGAGAACCAGAGTCACAAACAGCCAGAGCTGCAAGAAGCTGGACCTCAGTCACCCATCCCCTCTCTTTACAGACGGAAATGAGACTCAGAGAAGAGCTCTGCAAGGTCTGAAGGGGCTAGAACAGTCAAGACCTCATATAACCTTTTGAAACAAGTGCACCTAAGCACCCTTCCAGTTCACAGCACGCCCCCTGAGAGAAATGCTAAAAGAAAAATCCAGATAGAGCTGGTCAGGGATGCAGAGCAAAGACAAGGTCCAAATATAGTGGAGGGGGTAGAGGCCATACTTCAACCACTTGGAGCAAACAAGAGAAGAGGACCTCAGCTTCTGTGAGTCGGGGCCTGTTACCCTGGACCCCACCCCCACCCCACTCCTAAAAGTATAGGAAAATTTATTTTACTTAAAAATTGATCCATTAATGCAACTGAAAAGGAACCAGGGCTCCTTGGGGAAATGGATAATTTCAGGTCTGGAGCATAAAATGTGCAAAATGAGATTGAGTGAAACATTTTATCGTAACTGAAAACACTACCAGGGTCATGTCAAAACCATCCAGAAGAGGTGGAAACTGGCCAGAGTTTGGATAATTTGCATGTCCATGAGCATAAATACAATAGATTGAAACACATCAGACAGGTACAAATCCACAAGGTGAAGTGACCCTAAAGAAGACTGGCCCCTTTGAAGAATGCTAAGGAACCAACTCTGCATTTTGAAAACTAGTAAATAAAGTGGTGGTGGTGGGGCAGGGTGGGGTGGGGGGCGGACAACCATTTATCTTGTCTTTCTTCTATTAACTGTGCTTCAGGGTAGCCAAGTAGTTGATGAAGGGAAATTTCTCTGATAAAATTTTTCTGGCTAATAAATGAGTAAGGAATGATTGAACTCCTTTTTGTATGTCCTAAAGAAATAAAGGATCTGGCAGGCAAGGATCGTCAATGGCTACTAACATCTCAAAAGGAGAGACAACCAGCTTCTGCTGGAAAAAACAACACCACCTTTAAAGTATTTTTGCCAAAAAGTAAGAGCTGGACCAAAATCTGCTCAAACCTTGGCCTGTGGGGAAATAGGACACTGAGGCACATTGTAAGCGATACCACCAGAGTGTGACCAGCAGAATCCAGATCAGGGGAACTACAGAAAAAAGCACCTGATTTCTGCTTCCAGCCATGATACATCTATAATGTATATATTCCTAGATTTTCTATATATATTAGCCCGGATCCATGAAACAACTCCTGATAAGTATGTCCTTTGGGAAATAAGTTAAACTCTTTTTTTTTCCTTAAATATGTGGGGTGACATTGATCATATAGATTTTAGCTGTAGATTTCTATGATATCAGATCTGTATATTGCACTGTATGCCCGCCATCCAAAGTCAAATCTTCTTCCATCACCCTTCATCCCCTTCACCCCTCAAAAGTTAAATTCTTGGAGCCAGTCAGAAGCAAACTTAGAAATTTAGTAGTCCAGCCCCTGTTCCTTTCTTTCTTTTTCTTTTAAACTTCTCCTGAGGCTATTATTCCATTGATTTTTTTAGAGAGAGTGGAGGGGAAGGAGTTTGGAGGGAGAGAGACAGAGAAACATTGATGTGTGAGAGACATATCGATTAGTTGTCTCCTGCATGAGCCCCAACTGGGGCCAGTGGTTGAGCATGCAACTGAGATATGTGCCCTTGACCAGGAATCAAACCTGAAACTCTTCAGTCGGCAGGCCAGCGCTCTAACCACTGAGAAACCGGCCAGGGCTGGCCCCTGTTTCTTCAGACCTATCGTCGGCCTGAAAATTGGCCTTTCCCATGTTCCTTGGCTAGCCAGTTAGCGTCACCAGGGTTTCTGACCCTTGCCCGAGCCTATCCCCTGACCTGCATCGGTGAGGGAGTTCCACGGGGCACCCTCCTGTGGCCGAAACTCTGACTCTTTGCAGTCTCAGGGGACCCAGCCTAGTCAAAGCAGCAAAGACATGTCCAGAGAATTCTGCGAAAACAAAGTCGCAAGGAACTCGGAGCAGAGTTGCTCCAAATCCAAAAATGCTGAGTGGAGAAGCACCTCGGCCTTCGGGTGAGAGGGATGATCTGCCCGCGTTGGGCCTGGACAGGCTCTGGGATTCCCTCTTCTCATCTCATCAGAAGATGCCTTCCTAACCCCAGGATCCCTGAACAGCAGATGCTGCTCGGACCCCAAAAGAGCCTGGGTCAGGACTTCGGCCCAGGAGACGTCAGCCCTTGGAGAAGCAGTGCCTGCCGCCTTCCTGCTGTTGCCACTGGCCTGTGAGAACACGGCTGAGTTTTGAAAGGAGTCATAGAAACACCCCAAGGCCTGAGCCACCGGGTTGCTCAGAACGGTGCCCTGGAGATTTCCATGGACATTGTCTCAAAGCACCAGCTTTATCAGCTGCGTCTAAACGTCAGCCTCAACTTTGTCTTCTGCTGCCAGTGGCCTTGGAGCGTGGAGCAGTCTGGTTGCCCCACTGAACCTTACGTCCTTTGCACGGAGCTTGCTCAGAAAGTGTGAGCCGGGAGGCTGGGAGGCAGAGCTGCCTGCAGGATAGGAGGAGGCTCTTGTCCTCGCCCACCTTCCTTCTCAGGTCCAGGTGCCTGGATGTCTCCGCTGGGCAGGGCCAGGGGCGGGTGGTAGAGCCGGGTGCTGTCTGCACTGGGGGCCAGAGTTGGAACCACAGAGCCAGGATTAAGTCATAGAGGGAGCATGATAAGGATGGAGACGCTGGAGTGGTGGCTCAAGGTCGAGGTCAGGTTACCGGGCCAGGGTCAGAAAGGGAGCATGCATCCTGGTTGAGAGAAGCTGCTTGAGTAGAACTAAAATATCCTCAAGGAAGAGGAAAAGGCCGGGGCTAGACAAGGACAGGTGAGGTGTCTTAATTCCTGAAATAATTTAGGGTAGAATTCAGTGGTTTCTGATGCTTCTCTAACGGAAAAGGGGGTGGAGAGGGGTTGCAGACACATTCTCCCCACCTCCCCTCCAGGGCTCCTCGCGGAGGTAGGAGTAGCCCTCCTAGAATTCATTTCCTGCCATCTCATTTCCAGACCACGCTTCTCCTGGCAGGAGAGGCCTCCCTGGAAAAGAGGGGCAGGATGCCATCAGCATGATCACAAAAGGCCTCTGTCACTCACAGGAAGCTGGCCCTTGTGGAGCAGAGCTAATTACAAGGGAGGAGAAAGGGTCGCCTCCTCCTCTGGAAAGCGCTTCCTACTTGGGAAGTGGGGACTGAACAGGGAGAAAGGGCCCAGGAGTGGGCTCGGGTGGGCTCAGGACAGGGCCTCCCAGCGGCCCCTGCTGGGGCACGGACCAGCCTCTGGGCCTCAGTCTTTATGCTTCCCTAGACCAGTAGGGGTCAGGAATGCAGAGGGATTGAAAAGAGGGAGGAAGGGGAGGAGATTTGCTAAATAATCAAAGTGGCCAAGGGCAGTGCCCAGCTGCTCCTCCGACTTCTCTCCACTACTTTCACCTGGGTCACCTGTCCAGTCCCACTCGCCACGCAGGACCCCCTGTGTTTGCTCGGACCGCTCAGGGCTCCCTCTATGTGCAAGGGCTCTGGGTGCCCATGTGGGCCGGATTGAAATAGATTGGGTTGACGGGAAGCTGAGGGACAGAATTCAATCCAAACTGCAATTAAATCTCCCTGATTAGAATCTGCTAATTAGAAAAGGCTGCGCTGAAGTCGGCCGTCTGCAATCTGTCTTTATGGGGAGTGTTCAATTTGACAGAATGTACCTGAGAACCAGCAGGGGCCGGGGACAGCAGAGCAGGTTGAAACAACCATTTCCTGTCTGGGGAGCACCGTTGGCCGTCAATCAACCAGCGCTATCCTTTGGAATCATTCCTCGGTGCCCAGGCCTAGGTGCTCCCAGAGCAGTCCTGGACAGAGCCAGTCTGCGTGACTAACTGGCTGAGAAATGACACCACTGCACATCTTTTTGTTTAGTCTATCCTTCCCGTTGAGGTTTTTCTGTTATTTTGTATATATGTTTCTACATTCTTTAAAAAGAAGCTTTTTGCCTCAAAGTAAGAATAGCACAAAAAATTCTTGGATACCCTTCACCCAGATTCCCCAAGTGGTAACAGTTTACTATTTTACTCTCTTCCTCTCTCTTTCCCTCCCTTCCTACCCACCACCACCCCCCCACACACACACACATATACTTCTCTATGAAATTTTTTTCTGATCTAATTTAAAAATAAGTTTCAGACATGATGCCCTTTACCTCTAACTACTTCAGAGAACTGCACAAGTTTTTCAACAGTTTGGGAGTTCAGATCCAACCTGAGTTTAGATCAGCCCTCTCCTGAGCTAGAACAGAGAGTTTGGTGGGACCCAGGGTCCAAAACCAAGCAGCACTACATCCCAGGGCAACAAAGACCTCCATCCCATGTGCAGGAAATGGCAGGAAGTCTTCACAGCGGCCCAGCGCCTACACCACCTCAACCCCTCTCCCCAGGTTCTCCCCAGAGTCCTTGCCTCCAATCTGGCTGGCTGTCTCCTTGCTGGCATGCCCTGGGTCTTCTCTGTGGGCTCCTTGAGGTTCACCCTCTCCAGGAAGCCTTCCCTGACTCTTCTTTCTGCCCTCCTCCCAAGCACCACTGCTTCCTAGCCCTCATTGAGCTTAGCAAATGTTTTGTATCTCTGCCCCCACCTCCCCTGCAGGAGCAGGAGCCCTGAGCCTCATCTGGGAACATGGGCGCCCAACCACATCCGAGCTAACTGTCAGGACCGGACCTGGTGAGGACCAGTGGGTCCTGAGGGTGGCTGGGGACAGGGGCACAGCCTGGGGCGTGAGGACCAGGCCTCCCGCACCACTCAAGGGAAGGAAACAGAAACTCCATGGGTTGGGCAAGACCACTCACCCTCCATCCCTCTCCCAGGGACCAGAAAGACTCACCAGTCAGTGCCCTCAGCCAGATACCTGGGCTGAGGTGTCTGGAGTTGGTGGCCGAAGTCGAAGCTGGGGTAGAGTCGGTGGGTGTGGACAGACACGCGCTCCTGACTCCGCCTGCACCAGAAGGGAAGGAGGCCCATGGCGTCAGGGCTGCCCAGGCCAGCCCAGCTCCCAGCAGCTCTGAGCAGTCCCAGCCAGCCTACAGAGCAGGAGCTTGGCCCCTCGTCCCAAACTCTGAGGAAGCGTCCCAGCTGGACAGCAGCCAGGAACTCAGACATTCCTGTTCTGTCCGTCTGCCCACAGTACTGAGCCCTCTTCCTGGGTTTGTCTGCTGCAGGTCACCTGCCCCTCCTAGCTCCCTGTCTCCTCTGCTCCCTCTCCTACTTCCGTTGTCCTTGGTGGGCTGTCTTCAGGACACTCAGATCTGCCTCCTGCAGGCTCTCCCACCTCTGTGCACCCTCTGTTCCCCCCATGCTCTTCTCCCCTTGACCCTTCTTCACACTCTTCCCAGCTTTGACAGCCCAGGTCAAAGCCACCTCTTATAGGAAGGCCTCCCTGAACAACCCCAGCCATGGTGACCCCTCCTCCCTCTGACCCCACACCTCACTCACCCCTTCAGTTAGGGATGCTTATGGCCTTAGAGCTCCTCTAGCCAAGAGGTTATCAAAGTGTGCTGCAGCGCCCCTGGGAATCCTCCATAGGGGTTAGGAGCTCAAAACTATGTTCCTATCCTTCTATGAGGTTGTTTCCTTTTTCATTCTCTCACAAGTGAGCACTGGAGATTCCCAGTGACTGTGTGACATGTGATTTGCAAAAGAAGCCGACGTGAGAACACAGCTGTCTCCTACTAAGCCAGGCTTTGAAGAGATTTGCAAATATGTTCTAAAAAAGAAAAGGGGTCACTCTTCTTACCATATTAATATAAGTTTTCAAAAATGTATTATTGGTGTTAACATATAATGAGTTTGTGGTTATTTTTAAATGAGTTAATAAGTATTTTTTAAATTTCCGTTTTAATTTCTAATACGTATCAATAGTCCTAACCATAAACACAGAAGCTTGAGGACCACTGAGCTAGTCCAACTCTTTCTCGTGACAGTTGAGGCTCGTGAGGGAAGCGATTTGCCCAGGGTTCCCCGGCGCCTTCAGACCTTTAGGCTAGTGATGTCTGACTTTACTCTCCATCTGGTTCACAGCCGGTCTCTCCAACAGACCAGGGGCTCTTTGAAGGCAGGGTGGAACCAGCATGTCCTTTGGTTATTCCTTAGGGATCTTGGGGCTTAGAACCAGGTGACCAGGAAGCTAGTGGGGACATGGAGGGTGCCCAGTCAAATTTCCCACAAGGTGCAACCTTCCACGGCAAGCATCAGTGAGCACCAGCTGCCCAGCTCCCGTCCCTTACCTGGGCAATGTGACAGGGATGCACACTGGCTACCGAGGGAGCCCTGTGGAGTCCCGGCAGCTCCCACTACCTGAATGAATCCCTCTCATCTAACTGAGCAAACGCGGCCTGGGCACAGACCCACTTAGGGGCTGCGTAGTGACTGCCCTGGGTCCCACCCCAGCCCCACCGGCCACCAGGAAGCACCCACCTGGGGTGCGAGACGAGCCTGCGGTGCTGGGCTTCCAGGAGCTGCTGCTGCAGGAGGTATTGCTGGTGCAGGGCCTGAGGTAGGAAGGAGGGACCTGTGACATCCTGGAACTGCAGGGCGGGCAGCGGGGTCAGGGACTGGTGCAGGGCGCCGCTGTGCTGGTGGGCCGGGGCCATGTGGGCGCTGAGGCCCGGCTGTGACTGCACGGGGTGGGCCAGGGGGAAGTCGGGCGCGAGCTGCTGCGGCTGCAGGGGGCCCAGGTGGAAGTGGCGGCAGGAGGTAGCGTGCGGATGCTGAGACCTTTGAAAGGGGGCACCTGGAGAGGCAAGGACAGAGAGAAGACCCCGTGAGGACCAGCGCTGCGTCCCTCCCCCGCAGACGCCGCCACCGCCCCGGGCACCTCCTGCAGCTGCTGAAACTCCGGGCCTTCATGAGGACACAGCAAGGTCATTGCTTTTATGTCCATTTGGTCATCTTCAATACGCCAAGGAAAGGCCCGGGCCTTACATGTTGGAGGAGAGAGGGATGCTTTCTTTAATGAATAGATAAGCATCCTTTAAAAAATTAACACACTTGTAAAAGGGGCTTTGAGGTCCCTGAGGCAGACTGGCTTTCTTGAATTAGACTCCTCCCATGCAACCTCTGACCTCACCACCTTTCCTAATAGATGCCACACAGAGAACACTGCGTCCGGCTACCCAAGCTCTGAGCTCCCAGAAGCCTTGGCTCGCCAGGACCCAGCCCATGGGAACCCTCGTTTCCAGAGAGAAAACAACCAGAAGGTGTTTTCCATGCAGTTTTAAGAGAAAAACTAACCACCCCAATATAATTAAGCAATATGTTCTAAAATTATAATTTATTTAAAAGCAACCATTTCTAGGGATAAGCTGGGCTCAGGCAACATCTAACCGGGCCTCCGTTACTTTGCTAAATAAAATTGAGCTCGAGGACAAGCAGGCCTTACAAACTCCCCAGGAGCAAAGCTGTAGCTCCCGGCACTGCAGCCAGGAAGGTTTGCGGAGGCTTCTTGCTAAACACGCAGGTGCAGCTCCTCCCCAAACCCCGCGGGAATGAGAGCAAAGGGGCAAAGAGCAGACAAACAGACAAGGGCAGAGGGAATAGAGAGGTGACAAGAGCAGGCAACAGGTGTCAGCAGATTTTTGGAAGCTGGAAAGCAGATGGGGAGTTAGCAGAGATGAGAAACCAGAAACCAAGTCCTAACCAAAGGAATGGTCAGCAAGAAGCGGGGGCAGGATCTTGGCACGCATTCTGGAAGGTCAGGAATTGGAGGCGGTGGCTACTGTGGAAGGCAGGAGAGAGGGTGGAGCTGAGAACGGGATGACTAGTCATATGAAAGCAGTTTGGGGCTCCTCACCCTGTCATTTTGTGGGGAAGCTGAGCCAGAGAGGCTCCAATAGAGGAGGGCAGGGCGATGCACATGCTCAAACTGGAGGGTTAGGCGAACGCCTATGAATGGATCTTCGGAAACCCTGCCTCTTCTGCCACTGGGTTCTGAGAGCTGTCACCCAGGCGCCCCTCCCCTGCACCCTCCAGAGCCTTAGACTGGAAACTGGTCCCAGAAAAAGCTCTAGAGATGCTTCTGGTTGGGAGCACCCTAATAACATGGCTGGATCCCCAACTGGCCACTCTGTAATGAAGCCGGGAGACACTCATTCAGGGACCCCCGTCTCTCTGCAGCCCTGTGTCACGTGGGGTCTGCGAAAGTAGCAGATAATCGCTGTTCTATTTGGCCTCCAAGCCCAGAGGAGTGAAGTCCTACCGGTGGAATCTCTGGCCCATGACAAGCCAATGATCAGTGACGTTTGAACAACACTCACATCCCCAAATGCCCCTTCAATAGACAACCTACAATTTTTCCCATTAGAGTTACTCCTTTGGGTTAAAAAATAATCTGCCGATGTCCCCGATTAAACTAGTACTAACCATTTATATTTCCCCGGGGCTCAAATGCCATCGATTGCAAGGTTCACCAGGAGCCAAGTGACATTTTTAGGGAGTGGGGAGAAGGAAAGGTCTCCCAGAAACAGATAGACAAAGCACGAAAGTAACACGTCAAGTGTAAGACCCAAATCCGTTTCAGCACCATGAAGAAAAACACGTGCATCTTAGAATTCAGGAAGTGGATGGTGACTGCTGGCACCCCCTCAGAGCTGGCTGGGATCAGCACCTTCAGGCCGGGGGCCTGAGGGAGGTGGGGCAGGCTGGGGAGGTCCAGGTCAAGCCTCATGCAGCTGGGGCAGGGAAGCCCACAGGACGAGCCTCGCCTGATGCCCGCCTGGCACACGGGACGTAAGAGGTGCTCCACCGGTGCCCGGGCTCGTGGGCAGGGAGCCCAACAGACTGACAGCTGGAGAGTGAGGGATCAGGGGTGGGAAGAAACCACGGGGCTTCGCTGCAGGGAAGGAAAGGGAGAAGCAGAGGCTTGGGCCCAGGGCTTCGGGTAGGTGGTGGAGGTGACAGAGACGAGGTCCCGAGTCTCTAGAAGGTTCACTGACAGAGGGGAGATTTGAGTCTAGGCCTTCCCTAAAGGCCAACTGTCGATGGGAGGGAGAGGGCAGAGCCAGGGAACTAGGGCGTTTAATGAAGCAAGGGGACCTCCCAAGGAGGAGGGCGGTGCAGAAAGGGTCCAGGACACCCAGAGGACACACAGGGCCATCTGGGGTTTCCTCTGGCCTGGGGCTGAGGGGAACGGAGTCAAGGGGTGCCGAGGAGCCCCAAGGGGGCCTGGGCAGGAGCAGAGAGGAGCCAAGCCAAGAAGTCAGAATGTCAGAGACGGTGGCCCAGGCAGAGCCATGAGGCTTAACCAAGGCCTCTCCAGAGCTGAGAGCCTCCTCGGCAGCAGGAATATTCTAGCTGTCTTCTCATCTGAACCAGTGAGGTCACCCCCAAGTAAAGGGGCTTCCTTCTCAAGACTCCAGGGCTGAGAGCAGCCACCTCTGAGCCCTCGGGTGAAGAGAAAAGGGAAGAACAGGACGCATTGTGGGGCAAGGACAAGGGTGTGCACTTCCAGCAAAAGGCCGGCCCAGAGTCCCTATGGCAGGCCCACCCGTCAACCAGGGCCAAATCGCCCCCCTCCTCCCAGGGATGTGGGACCCTGGGAGAGGAGGGTGGGAACCAAACCCTCGGTCTCCAGGGAAGCCAGTCTGGCGTGTCCCATCCTCCCCAGGCCAGTTCTCAGGGTGTCAGGTTCCCCGCGGTCACTCAGCTCACTGACCCAGCATCACTCTCCCTCACAGGTGGAGGCAGAGCAGGCCTTGGGAAGGGGAGAGGGGCTGGGGGGAGGGCAATGGCCCCGGGATGGTGTGGGAGAGAGGATGGTGGGGGGCAGCTAGCTGGCAGGGACCGGGGACTGAAGGTGCAGGCTTGTCACTGCTAAGCACTTCCTCGAAGCGAGGGCTGGAGGCAGATGTTACTCCTTTCTGAACTCCAGCTCCCAAGTTGTGTAGAAAACCAGCCTTTTGAAAAGCAAATATCTGCCCACAAGAGGCCAGCGAGGAAGCCTCCACCACCAAAGCGGCTTTCAGAGGCAGGCAGAGTGGCCTATGTGAGGGCTCTGCCTCGAGGTCAAGGGGTCCCCCTCACCGTCAGCCCTGGACAGGACATCTCACTCTCCAGGCCCCGTTTTCTAGGCATGGGACCCACACTGATGGCACCGGGTCACACACCCGCTGACATCGCTCTGCTGCCTGGGGCCATGAACACCTTCAGTCCGGGCCCCTCATCTTCCCGGGAAGGTATTTGTGAACTGAATGCTGGGACAGCCCCCGGCTCCCACAGCTGGGCAGCCCGGACCCAGATCTCCTGCCTGTTGAGATTCACTTTCCCACTCGCCTCTCCCAGACCCCAGGGCCTCGCCTGCCTCCAGGCCCACAATGGCCATTCTCTGCCCCCTGGTCCTGCTACCCTACCTCGCTGGACAGTTGCATCCAGTCCAACCTTGACTCCCCAGGACAGATCTTAACTCAGGTGTAATCTCCCAGTCAGATAGACTGCCCTCTCCGCTGGACTGGTGGCATTTGCCTGTGATATTTGGCATTTTATTTGTGGACACATTTTATCTCCATTAATAAGTGGTTAAGGGGGTGCTTTCAGGAGTGCAGTAAATGTCCTTTGTTCTTAGAGGGGCTTAGGAATCTTCCAAGAGGGGAGGGAGGGGGACATGAGAGAATGGAAGAGGGGAGAAGGACAAGGGGGGCGGGGGGAGGAAAATGGGCAGGAAGGAAAGAAAAGGAAGAAAGACCTCCATTATCTTAAAAATGTTAAATATCAGATTATTAGCTCCTCAGGAAATATGGTTCTTCATGGGATCATCAAATATTCCAGCCGAACAAGGCTCAGAGATCGTGCAGCCTTCACTCTACGATGAGGACCCCGGGGCTGGGAAAGGTAGGTGGCTTGCCCAGTGCTCTCGGGTCATTATGTCTGAGTTGGGGCTGGAGTTCAGGCCTCCTAGGTCCCAGTGCTCTCCCCTCCCCTGCCATTTCAGGCCCCCCTTCCTCCAAGCACCCAGAGCCTCATATGCCCACACCCATGTACACGTGGTACTCCCAAAGAGAAGTCCTCCTGCCCAGAAACGGCAGCCAAGGCCCTGGTGGTCCCACCCGCCTTCTTGTTCCCCTCCCAAGCACCCCCAGGAGGAAGCTCATTCCTGCAGAAGGAAGTTACCATGAACTGGCAAGAGACCAGCTGCTGGGGCCCATGGGGAAGGGATTGGATCTCTTCTGTGGGAGATGCCAAGGAATGGCCGTGGTGAGGAAGAACGCATAGGCTCAGCCCGGTCCACCTTGGCCAGTGGCCCCAGGTTCCCTCCCTGGTCTAAGAAAATGCCCAGGTCAAGCCCCAGTTTTATGGAGGAGGCCAAAGTGTTTCTAGCCCATTGGGTGTTTCTGTTGCAAGGCAATCCTATGGGGCCCCTAGAAGTCCTCACGCAAAAGGCTGTGTTTAGGCCCTATGTTTCCCAGGGTTTAACTGATGAGAGAGGATGGAAGAAACTTCTGGGGTCCTGGCCCCAATTCCCAGCACCTCGAATTAACACGGACACGGTGAGCTGGACTCTGGTGATGGAGACCAGACTTGTTAGAGGACTCAGTGTCTGATATGAGAACGGCTGTGCTCAGGGAAGAGGAGGCCCCGGCCAGGTAATAGCTGCGGGCAAAGGGATTCAGCTCATTTTGGTAGATTTGGATCAACATAACGAAGACATTTCTTAGAATGTCACTGTGTTCCCCAAAGTACTTCATCACTGGGGATGCCCATGCGAGGCCAACTAACTGCCCAGCAGAGGAGTGTGGCTGG